TATTCAACCGCGCATAGATCGTCGACTCACGTGACTGACTTGACGTGCACGCATTAGTTGAAAGATTAACAACAGATATAAAGAAGGTTAATCGACAAGCATGTGCACTTTTGGTTTTATATACAGGGTGTTATGTAATTAATGTTATATATTAAAATGGGTTGTTCCGTAGGGTCCATAAAGAAGCACCTGAAACTTTTTTTTCTAAATTCCAAAGTCTAAAAATAATTTATAATAACCTTTATCCTACCAAAAAGTACGCCACTGATCGACTAGGAACTTTAGGTTAATCTGGTGGATTTATTATGTTATGGTTGGTAACAGCAGTGTTTCCAAAATCTCTCAAAAAAGTTGACAAACATTGTTTAAATTTAGCTTAATTACAAAAATGACAAAATTAACAATGCAAATTGTCAATTTGGCGTTTTTATTAATTGTTGGTTGTTTCATTTTTGTGCTGAAGGTAAATTCAAACAAAATCTGCCAACTTTTATGACTAAGGGAAGTGCTTTTGGATTTATTTACACAAATTAAATGTTTAAAGTTTAACCTGTGAACTGGTCCCAATTTCATCTGAGTAAACAGAGAAAAAAACTGATGAAAAAATTAATTTTGTGGTTATGGATTTCAAATTTCAAAGGTACTAAATTTTCTAATCATTGCTTAAGCTAATAGCTGGATCAGTAAATAAATACAGAAGGGTATTAGAGCTTTAAGGGCATAAAACTTTTGTATTTATTGAGTTTTTATTTATTTTACGCAAGAACAATTTTTAGTAACAATTTTTTACATCTGGCAACGCATAGCTTCTTTGTTGGTTGGTATCTATGTACTCACAAAATACAGGTGTGCAGAGATAAACAAGTGTGTAACCAGTGGCGTATCACAAAAAATATAAAAAACTTCTAATGCATATTTTTTCTTTATCTTTGGAAAAATGTTTTTTTTAAATATTTTTCCTTTATTCCTTGTGTCAAAAGGTATTCAGTATTTTAATATATAACATTAATTACATAACACCCTGTATATATTAATCTGTGGATGTTTCTGCTGTGTTGAAAATTGTTTTAATTTGGGATAAAAGGGATAAAAACCTGCACATCAGTTATTTGAAATACTAAACAACTTGCCATCGACCGATTTTACATTGCAAAATTTTATACGCGAGAATGAAAATTAACATCATTACTGTCTACCTTTTATGCAACGACAGTAATACTGATTGGTTCATAAATTTATTCACAGTTTTAACAAACGGTTCTGTTTACTACTAAGATTTTATTATACGCTAAAGAATCATCAGGTTTTCGCAACGCGCGCGCCATTGGTGGTGTTCGTTAGCATTATGTGAATTTAAGAATTGTCAACAATACATTTAAAGCATACGAACTCCATATTATTTTTAAATAAATAAGTAGTTTTTTTCACAAAAAACAGGAATGCAGAAGACTTACTTGACAAATTTTGTTCAATTGCACAGTTAAATCGCGCACGTATTTGTTTCGCGTTGCCAGTAAAAACTAAAAAACTTTGGATTAGTACTCGATTTTAATTTATTATTCCTTATATCATTGTTTAAGAAACTCAACGCTTATATGCTTATAAAGTTACGTTAGTGTGTGTATTTTATCGAAATGATAATGGTGAATTATTGTGTTTTTAATTGTAAATAAAATTCAAGAACTAAATAGTTGCATTTTATGTTTTGCCAAAGGATGGCCATTTTTGTCCGTTTATAAGAAATCTTACAAAAAATAATTGTCGTACAAACATAACCTTAAAATCAAATATTTTTTTATTTGATTTCTCTAAAAAAACGCCGACAACTGCATTTTAAACGACAAAATATACCTACGAATTCATGGCAACATAATATTATATATAATATATTCGGCGTTTTATATGTATATGTCACGGCTAATGTGCAAACTTGGATAGTTTATAAACTAGCTGGATAGTTTATAAACTAGCCAAACTGTCAGCTATTTTAATTGAAAATGTATTTTCAACTAAATTAGCGGCTAGTTTACAAAATAACCAAGGATCTTGGCTAATTTACTTAAAATTATTAGGTATTATTAGTATGCAACTACGTCCCTATAGGGAGTAGTTGCATACTACCCGAAAAATATGTTTTTGTTGGGCCACCCTGTATACTAAAAAAAATGATGTGGTACGTATTTTTGTTTCTTAGTTTCTAATACACATTTAATTAAATAATTAGCTAATGGTCATACTTAAACGTTAAAATAAAATAACATTTAAGTACGTACTTATATACTTAAAGATCAAAGTGGCATTAGCATCTGGGTAGTTATGTTATGGCTACAATAAAGGCTCACAAATAGAGCTTAAAGATAAAGTCGAAACACTTTAATTTAATTTTTTGTATTGGTAATAAACATTTACCATGCATCTAGTTCCCAAGTTCCAAATTATGCAGGCAAATATTATGAAATAATATTAAATTAAGAAACTATTTATAGGCCATAACCTTTCCAATATTTTACCGAAGGTTTTATTTGCTAAATTTTATGGCAAAAAACACTTTAACCCTGAAAACTCATGTAATGATAGCATGAAAAATCAACTAAAATATTTTTATCAAAAGGAAAACAGATATTATATCAACAAAAAAAACAAGTTGTTTTTTTAAAAACATGTTTTTTATTATTTAATCTAATAATTTGTTGTCAGGTTTATCATGTCATATGTAAATCTAATGTTAAAATAAAATATACTGTTAACTATTCAAAAAGCCATAATTATAATTTATATTAAATAGGTGGTTATGAAACGTCATAATCAATATTAAATTATTATCAAAAAACTAACTAATAGGTAATTTAAATTCAACATCGAGAATATGCATTTTATTTCTAGTGGTATGCATTCAACAGGCGGTTAATATAAACCAATCTAAATTGTAATTTAAAACTAAAAAACAACACCGTCTTATCACTTCTATTGTGTATTGTCTCAAATCAAACAACTTGTACAAACAATATGTAATTACCTCTAGCAACAAGGCAACAAAAAAGTTAATAATACCACTTGCACACCATGAAAAGTTATATATAATTATAAAAAACATGTATTATTTAATGCAACGACTGTTTATGCCATAAACTTTATGGAATACATATATGCTTATAAGCGAAAATAAACAATCGTATTTACATTGCAAAATATGCAGGAGTAACAAATAAAAGGAGTGGTGTAAATATACACTAATCAACAAAACAGTTATTTATAAAATAAGTTTATTTCGTGATAAGGCGGAGTATTCCATCCCTTTTCGCAAAATCAGATTTTTTGAATTATTTTGAAAACATGTTAGTGTTCAAATATTGATATTTTATTTATGGTATCCAATCGGATACGTGCGAAACAGGGGCTACTCGGGGAAAAAAATCCTCATAATTTTTTAAATTGTCGATCTTGGAATTTAATTCTCCAGATAATTTTTCGTAAAAAAGGTTCTCTTGTTACAAACTCATGGAGCCAACCGTTTTTGAAAAAAACGCTATTTAAAATTTCAAATGTCAAATGTCAATGTTTAAAGTCAAATAATGAAAACACTTTGAAATTATATAGGAAGAGTGGTTCCATCTATCGCCTTTAGCTTGAAATCAGCAAAGAAAATGTAAACTGACAGGTCACTGTAGAATAAATTCATGTACATAACCTATAATATAACATATATCAAACGTCAAACCTGTCCAAATGTCGCAAACCCAATGATTTTAATGTAAGTACAGATTTATTAAATGCTTAAAAAAATAGTATTTACAACACGGCGGAGAAAGCATATTAACTGCGCCTGTTAGATAATGTACTATTCTTCATCGTTTTTTAGTTTCTTATTAGAGGCAATCAGAAAACAAAAAGATAGTGCTAGAGAGCAATAATGATATTGCATGCATGTCGAAGAAATGCATTGTATGCAGAATTTTCTGATTAAAAATTGTATGCATTGTTTATGTATACGAGAACATTTATAACACTATAGTGTTACACCGTTATCAATGGAAATAAATAAATTATATTTCGTGTTGTGAATTTTATCAATTTACATTTAAATAAGAAATGCCCAAATGTTAATTAATTTATTCATACGTTATAATAATACTGCCATGAAAAATTATATAATACACCTAATACAATGTTAAAATTCAAACTAAAAATGTAAATAATTACAATAAATTAAAATATTTCTTTAATTATACACTGCCCGTCAAAATTAACGCATAATAAGTAAAAAACGCATAATAAGTAACAAAGATACAGCGCTTCAAAATAAAAATAACTTTAAGAGAATTTTTTTAAGTAAATTAAAAATATGGTGTTAAAGACCGTATTTTTGTTAGTATACACGTAAACTGAGATATAAGTTGAAGTATTTTTATACAATCTTTATGAAATTTTGTATAAAATTTTTTTTTGTTAAAATTCGAAAACCTAAAATCATACATGTTAATACACTGCCCGTCAAAATTAACGCATAATAAGTAAAAAAATAAGTAAACAAATTCTAACTCTAAAACGCCTTTATAAAGGCGTTTTAGAGTTAGAATTTTTTACTTATTATGCGTTAATTTTGACGGGCAGTGTATGATTTTAGGTTTTCGAATTTTAACAAAAAAAAAATAAGATTTCAGTATTTTTTTAGGTTTATTTTTGAAAATTCAATTTTTTAAAATAGTGACGTATTAAAAAATTTAAAATTTGCTAATAACAAAGTGTCAGAAACCATTGCAGCTTAGCCTTATTTGAATTAAATCTATAATAACCATTCAAAAAATAAAAATCAAATAAACCTGTAAAGCATCAGATTTTTATTTTATTTTCATATACCTATGTACCTACCTACAAGAATAAAATCATTTAAAAAATAAAAATATTAAGTCAATTATTTAATTATCTTACACGTGACTTTTCTTTACCACTTTACATTTACATACAGAGTACACTACATAGACAGTGTAGAGTGAGGGAAATGGGCACCGGACTCCGGTAGAATTTGACGCGAGCGGTTTTACGTTTTAGTAGTACTCGGCGAGACACCGGCTCGTTACGCGCGTTAAAAACAGGTGCGAGAACCGTTTCATACAAGGAAGATTTTGGTGGCGTTTTAAGGGGATTTCGTTTGTTTTGTTGTGATATAAGTACGTTTATCGGATGTATCAGTGATTTGATATTGAATTTATCAGTGGTATGATATGATCTATTGACGCAATAAAAAGATATGATTGGTTGGGGAAATGTCATGTAAAAACTAGTGTTAATAAAGGATATGGCTAAATTTGTCTAAAATTGTCTGAGAATGCCCTTGCAAAAATTACCGTATTTAACAGAAGCCAGTTAAAAACAATGCACTTATAAACAATTAAATACGAATAATTTATATTATAATTGACAGGGCTGAATATTAGGTTTAATGCCAATAACGCTCCTAGTGAAAACGTAGATACCACCATAGAATTTTATCATTTTCTGTATTGCTATAAAACATGGTGGGCATTTAAAAAAAAACTGAAAAACCGAGAAATGTCAGGGAATGTATTGTATCAGAATCATGGAAATATTACCTACTGATTCAGGAAATATCATTAGCGACTTTTGAACTGAAAATTTTAATGGTATATTACAGCCAAAACTGGCCAAGTACTCGAGTAGTATTTCAATTATGAGTAAAAAGTGCAAGTTCTTTTTTACTCATAAGTAGTTTTCATTTGAAATACATATTACTCGTACTTACAAACCAAATTCAATGTACTCGTAAAAAATATTCACAATTAATATATACATAAGAGTATTTTTGTTTATTATATCGCAAGCATCGAAACATTTTGTTTAGAAGTCTGTTTTAAATTATATATATAGTATAATATAATATACATATACCCTATATGTTTTATAAGTTATAATTTTAGCTGCTTACTTGTTATAAATTATAACAAGTAAGCAGCTAAAATTATAAACTATTTACTTGTTATAAATCATATAGGCTATATATATATATATATATATAGTTTAAAACAAGAAATGTTTTTAATTCTCGAAACTTGAGTTATGGTTTTTGCGATACTTTGACAAAAAGTCATATAATGTATGTATTTCTTAGAGTCAAATTAACAAACCACCAAGTTTAAGTTAAAAGTCCAAAAAAATTCCTGCTCAATCGAACCTCAAGTGGTATTTATTGACAAAATTTACAGAAGTTGAATTGTCAATTATATTAAATAATATTTTGTTTTTCAAAAGTACTCGTACTCTTTACTCGTGTTTTCACAATTACGACTCGTATACGTAACCCCTCTTTACAAATGTACTTAGTAGGTACTTAAAATTGTACGAATACTTTTTTTACCACTGGTGCCCAGGTCTGATTACACCTATCTCAAAGTCAATCCGAGGACTTATTATGACCTTTATTTAAATATTTACTGTTAATAAAAAAAATTAACTTAATATACAATTTAAAATAGTAACTATTTACCTTAAAATTATCATATTTTAAGTTTAAATGCTTTGTAGCTGTTTTTTTATCATTCTAATAGTCGTATAATTTATTACCATCATAAAAATTCTGTAATGTAACTAATTTAAGATAATCTTAAAAATGCAAATATTTAAAATATATTTTTTTTATATTTTTAACAATATTTAAGTAGCCAATACCTGAATGCAAATAATAATATATACCTACTAATTAGCACAAATTTACCGTTTTACTTATATTAACATATATGCCACTCAATGTTCAAACAAAATAAAATAAAACGTTTCATTTCATTATTTTTAGATAGCGATCGATTTAAAGATTTCATTGCATTTGTCTATAGAGGTGTACAACATAATTACATGTTAAACTAAAGAGAAAGTAAAAGGACTGACAATAAAATTGTTTGTTAAACAATAGAATCTCAAGCAACATAACTTTAAAATAAATCCGCAGCGAGTTTAACAATAATTTCAACGATTTGCTTAAACCTTGATGCTTAATAGACCAAGAAATACGTGAAAATGCATCCATTTTTATATATTTTTGAAATGTTTTCTCCAATTTTATTCTTTTAATTTTTTAGTGTTTCAACTGTAAAAATAAAATAATAATAATAAAAGTGGAAATTGCAATTTTTATTTTTTAAATCGTCATTTTGGGCGTGTTAATTTTGAGATTTACGTTGGTATTAAATACGTTTAAGTTTAGTATTTTATCCCCAGTGGTATCATGACGAGACCATCTATGTTTTAAAACATTCACCAAATAATACATTTTTTAAAAGTTTGTTGATAAATAATAAAAGTTAAATTTTCTAAAGATGAAGAAAAAAATACAAAGTAAAGATAATGATTTTTTTTAAACTTAAAATCTTTATAGAAGAAACTTAAAAAAAAAATATTTTGTTCATTTTTAAAGAGGGCGAGTAAAAAAGGATTTAAGGTGCGTTTTACGAAATGTTACAAGAATACAAGCGAATATTACAAGGAAATATTGCAAAAAATTTAAGTCACATGTGCCTTGAACGTATAATGTGTGACCATTGTGGATAAATGACCGTTTGTGTACTCTCTTAGAATGAAATAGTACTATTTGAATTAGTACCCGCATTGTTAACTAATAAAATAGTAGTTTTTACTTTTAAATAGTTATTTTTTACTACTTATATAGTTGAAGTTTGACCAATTTACGTCACCAATTTTGACTGTTTCTAAGAGTAAAAAGTAACTAATTTCTTTCCTAATTTGTTAGATTTAAATGCATGTTCGATCCATGGTTAAATGGCCCATAAAAAACAAAGATGCAAAAAGTTTAGCTCAAAACAGCAACACAAAAATAACATTAAAATATTAATAACAATATTTATAGACAGATATAACTGATCTTTATAAAAGTAGCAGTTGTGCCTCAAAAACTGTTTTAAATTTAAATTATTAATTTGTCTATTATATTCGGTAGAATTTGACTAATTATTAGTGACTGCTTTTTCGCTATGACAATTAGTTAAATATGAATTATAATTAGTCATTTTTGACTAATTCATTTTAAGAGAGTATATTCGTCAAGAGTGATAAAATCTAAAAAAATAACTTATAATGTTATAGTTGTAATACCGGGTAATATAAGGATTTAACACAATTGTGTTTAATAATGGCTTACGTACCTATCTTATACACAGAAAAAACGCTAGCATAGCATGAATGGGTGAGCCATTAAACCAATGGGATCTTGTAATCCGTATTCCTGAATAACAGTTCCTATAATACCAATAGGTAGTTAGCACTTGGTTTATAATCGTTTACTGTTTTTAAATTAACAACAAAAGTTATCGCTCCTAAATCAATTGATATTCATATTGATATTTATTTGTTAGAATGGTAGAATGTTATTGCATTAAATACTAATTTGATTTATTTAATAACGTTACTATTGTATGTATAGTATACATTGTATACTATAGTATACATACAATAGTATACAATAGTAACGTACATATATGTATACATTTAACGCAATAAATTCTTTGACATTTAGGCAAAATATTTCCCTATTTTGGTTTAATAGTAATTAATTGAACAAATAACAATTTACATTGCTTCAATTTTAATGCATTCAATGACAGCGCTGTTCTTGGTACTATGTTAGATTTTTTTCTGTGTACATTTGTGTATAAGATAGATATAAAAGCAGAATGTGTTTTTCAAAATTTGTTGTGTTTCAACATCTTTTTTCAGGTTATAATTTTTTAAACTATTTAATTATTCAAAAATTGGTACATACCAAATTTAAAATATAGTTATACTCAAAATTTATACATTTCAGCCAAATTTCTTTTTAGATCATTGATCGGCATAAAAATACGCAACTTTTACCTAATTTAACCAACAATGTACATATCTCTAAATATAATTGAGATACCGAAGCTTAGCCTCGTTGAGTGAAGAAGTAGTCCTTAGTCAATGCTTAGCCTCGTATATAATATCATTTCAAAAATGGCTATGCATGTTTTTCCCCTTGGCTAATAGATAAAATTGGAAGGTTTTTAACAATGGCGTTACATGATGTAACTTACATCATAACATATACCTATATATATATATATATATATATATATATATATATATATATATATATATTAGGGTGGGGCTTATTTTGGCGAAGTCCGAATTTTTTCCATTCCCGGCCTAAAAATTAATCACCACATCTAAAAAAAGTGTTGTGTAAAATTTTAGCCAAATCGATTAACATTAACACGTGCCGCAGAGCACTTGAAATTTTTAATGGGAAAAACATGCATTTATTTTTTACAGCCTTTTATTTATCCTTTTATCAAAAGTAAAATAATTAATAGAAAATTTTCAAACTCTGCAGAATTTTTAAGTACATTAAGGAGCATCGAAAACTATTTTTTCCAAATTTTTAAAATCATACCTTCCCCGTTGAGAGTATTTTTTTCTTCAATATTTTAATACACAGCCCCACAAAAAAAAGAAAAATGGGAACCGACGCGTCGCGAAGTACCTGAATAGTTACATATAATGGATTTTTGGTTGCTGAGTCCGAATCCGTGGTCGGAATTCCGCCATCACCCCCAAGTTTTTTATAACCTCAAAAACATTGTTTTTTGGTCAACTTTGCATTGTAAAACTGATTTTAAAAAACGCGTGTTTTTTTTTCGATTTCGACCATAAATTTGGATTCAGCAGCGAAAAATATATAGAAAAGTGTGCCGTATTTTTAAGAGCCACTCATCAGCACTTAGTATAGATTCTTTTTAGAAAATAAACACAAAATTATTCATTTTTTTACTGCTTAAAATTTTCCGCAGAATGATCCATTATTCTAATATTTACCCAATAATGTTGCCCATGCTTAATCTTAATATTTTCTTTGTTGTTTAGTATAGAATCTATACTATTATTATATAATACTAATATTAAGATTAAATACAATATTTTAATACAATAAGTATCAATACTATATCAGATATATATATATATATATATATATATGAATAATTTTGTGTTTATTTTCTAAAAAGAATCTATACTAAGTGCTGATGAGTGGCTATTAAAAATACGGCACACTTTTCTATATATTTTTCGCTGCTGAATCCGAATTTATGGTCGAAATCGAAAAAAAAAAAATACGCGTTTTTTAAAATCAGTTTTACAATGCAAAGTTGACCAAAAAACAATGTTTTTTGA